TAGGTCTTGTATTTTTTTTGTCACTACAAGTGTCACGTGGGCCCGACATTTTCCTCTGGACTGCGTTCAGTGGTGAGCAAAATCAGGCTTGGCGTTGCAGTTTTGGTTTTGGTCATGGTCTTGGACTCGCAAAAAGTAGATGTACCATAATTCCAAGGCCAAAACCAAGATTTGATCGTACAGGACCACGGCTTGACTGAACAAGACCAAGAAAGACTCGAGTGATGGTAGGTCTTGCATTTTTGTTCGTCACTACAAGTGTCACGTGGGGGATCCCGTGGACTCGGGGACATCACGGCTCGACTTGCGAGCAAGGGGAATTATACAGTTCCGGAAATAAGCTCCGTGTCGCTGACAGCCTCGCCAGGTCTTAGAAACATTATTTACCGCGGAGCCTTGCGACTGACAGTTCATTGAATACTTCGGGACGCATTGTGCGCGCTCGGGCCAAGTTCGTTGGCGCGACTCTTCTTTCGCCGCGAGGGAATTCCGCTCCGCGATTTTAGAATTTTGCAGAAACTGATCGGGATCGAGCGATGAAAGCGAGTTAACCCTTTCATTACGGCAGTCCGCTCCGTCAGACAACCACCACAGAACGCGACATCGCGTCGAAAATGCACACATTGCGTTTCAGTCTTCGGTGTTCGAACTTATGTCTTCCACCCGAACAACGCCTCCATGACTACCATTTGTGTGCACTTTTCTAAGTGTTAAATACCAACTGTTTCGTCGTATTATTCCATTAGTAAAATCGAAATAAACGTCTAACCATAAACTTTTAAGAAATTAAAAGCTATACCAATAGTTGGTCTTCTCGTCTCGTCTCGATGACAAAATTGTGTTACGTATGTTCAAAATAGAGGCATAAATCTCGGATACTTCTGTACGCTGATTTTCCTTCACGGACACGTAAGCAATTGTACGTATTCAGAAAGGCATGTAGTGGTACGTTTATGAACATTTGTCCGGATTTCTTTTCCATCTTACCACTTTGTTCCAAATTTTCAATACTTCCGTTTGATTTCTTAGATAGAAAACGTGTCTCCTGAAATGTAGAGTACGTCCGTTTTCCATTTTGAGTGCCTCGATTTCTGGTTTCAGTATACACTTGTATTCGAAAGTGATCGACATATCGAAACACGTTTAACAGCGCACATCTCGCCACGCGTCGTCGCATTCAGCTAAGTCATTTAATTTATACGCTAAGTCTAGTATAAAACCTATACACGGTGATTGCAAGCTGCAGGGTGATATTTGGTGCAATAAGTAAAAACGACCCCGAAAGATCTCGCGAGACGGGGGTTCCCTGGAAATGCATCATCGATGCACCCCCCACGATGTCGGGGATTTCGGCTGGCTGTTCTGAATTTCAAAGTTCCCGAGGGTCGGCGTCTTTCCTCTTGTTTCGGTCTTTCTCTTTTTTAACGAAGGCTGCATTTGTTAATTCCTTTACGGCACCGAAGGCCTTTGCCCTCCACCAGGGGAGAAAGTTTCGCTTCGATTATTGCCTTTCCGTGTTTCACGCCGCGTCCCTGTGCGGAGCGTCGTAAAATCTATACGTATGAGTAATTGCAGCCGGGGGTAGGAGGAATTACGTTCGACGGGGTGCGGCTTGCATCCCCGTGATCGACGGAGAAAAAAGAACCGATGATTCCGCGGACTAACGGTCGTTCCCGAAATCGCTTTCGTTCATTCGGGATTCCCACTTTTCGACCGATCTCGAATTCCGCTCTTGCTTTCCGTTTGTTGTCCGCGGTGCTATCGCTGACTGATTAATCCGTTTCGGCCTACACGTCGAGAAAAAAAAATGGAAGATGAAAACACGAGGGGAAAAATGAAAAAGGAATCGACATTTTGCCGGACCCTATCGTTCCCATCGATCCTCGCACTCTCCGCGCGACAATGCTTTTACCGAGACGAATCGTGGAATCGCGGTGATTTCAAGGAATAATTGAATATTGATCGCTAATGGGACTTAATTACATTCCAAATGCTCCAAAGGAAATATTTATAAAAATTAAACTCGAGGACCCTGTTCTTCTGATCCACTTCCAGATCTATGAAAATGTACGTAGATGCAGGTACATATGTACATATAACAAATTGAGACAGGCCTTTCTTAATGTTTTCAAGCACTCAAATTTACTTTATGAACCAAATGTAATTGTCGAATTCAATGAATGGAATTGAAATTTTCGAGAGCATATAAACGACAGAAAAGATTTAGCAGAATATATACGTTTATTTACGGTGAAACGACGATCATAAAATTGATTTACAATAAAGTCCCTCGGAAACCAACTCTCTTATTTCGTGGTTAGTATGACTAATATTAAAAATGGTAAGCCACGGTTCAATATAATCAAAGACATAATTATAAAAAGAGATCGAACGAGTCGAAGGATCGATCGAAAGCGTCTTACCCTGGAAGTGATCCCACTCGATACGCGGTCAAAAGGAAATCGGTCATTTCGGGGACTAGACCATTCGTCTATACCTGAATCTTAATCCGACAATCGGCATCGAATTTAAAATTGACAATCAACGAAATCTCGGCATTATTTCTGCAGCTTAACCCTTTTATTACAGCAGTCCGTTCCGCCAGACAACCGCCACTGAACGCGACACGCGCGAAAAGAGTGCACATTGCGCATCGGTGTTCAAATTTGCGTCTTCCACCTGAACAACGCCTCCATGACTACCATTTATATGCACACTTGTCTAAGTGTTAAATAACAACTGTTTTGTTGTATTATCCCATTATTAAATTTCCAAATAAACGTCTAACCTTAAGAAATTAAAAGTTGTCCCAATAGTTGGTCTTCTCACCTCGTCTCGATGGCCAAACTGTTACGTACGTTCAAAATGTACTTTTAGGATGATTAATCCAATACGGGTCAATACAATCAAAAGATACTTTGCAAATATGGCAGAATTTGTTACCGACTACAGTCGGCGCTCTTACCCAAAGGTCGTTGCATGTGTGCCGACTATAGTCGGCACTCGTAACGAAAAACTTAAAATGAATACACCATGGATATCGGAGAAATTTTTCGCGAGACGAAGTGGGAAAAAATTCCATTTACAGAATCAACAAAAAACGATACGGTGTCGAAACGCTTTCGTACATTTTTGACTTAAATCGCGCCATCCACGTTGACGAAGTGCATCATCACCAAATTCCCGCGACGACCGTGCTCCGGGGCGAACCCGGAAAAGGAGGAAAGAGCTCTCGCCGGATCAGCTGGTCGGGTCGTCGCGACGAGTGCGGGGATTCGCGGGACGCGAAAGTCACGGGAGCGCTCCTTATGGCAAAGGAAAGCGTTAGCTCGAATCATCCGAAGCAAAGGCGCATCCCGGGTCCCGCCGCGAGCGCATCTCGAGCGCGTTCGGTCGCGAGAGAGCACCGATAGTCAGGGGCTCCGGACTCCGTTAGGAGGCAATCTCATCTCGTCCACTCGGGGTCGGAGCTTTCGGCCGGCAAGTTCGCCGGCGTCTCAAAATCGAATAAAGACCGAGACCCGGCGCGGTTTTGCTTTATTTACCGCGGCCGAGGTAACCAGCGGCAGAGGGAGAGGGAGAGAGAGAAAGAGAGGCGCGGCCCCCGGAATCGAGTCGGGGGCGCATCGCGGCAAGAAGGGGTGGGAGGGAGGATCTAATAGATTTTCACGGAGCAGTGATGCAATATACTTCCAAGGCCTAGCCACCGTGAGTTATGGCGGCTCGGTATTATGTTGGCTGTTGGTATTATCGCGAGGTGCCGAGTGCCGAGGAGCGTCGCAGCCTCCCCCGCCGCGCGTCCCCGGGTGCGCGGGGCCAAGAGTCCCGTGGAAACAATTAATCTAGCCCTCTGATTACTCCTCCGCCTCGCGTTCCCGTTGAGACGTCAAAACTCGAGATATTAATATGTTCTCCTGGCTGGCAGGGCCGCAGCTTCTTCCGATGGAATTATTACCCCGGAGCCGCGGACCGGAACTGGGACCGGGACCCGATCCCGATCCCGGTCCCGGACCCCGAGAGTCGCCGCGTCCCGCGGGACCTTCCGGCTTCTCCTGGTAATCTCCTCCCGGAGCTGTAATAATATCCCACGGAAAGGGATTTCTTCCCCGGAAGAGGGGGCGCGGATGTAACGGATACGTCGAACCTGTCGACTCGGCGAGGAGAGGAGAGACGCTCCTCCTCCGGCCGTGATTCGGGGTCGACGGGGCCGGAGGAAAATCGAGTTTGTACCTTATCCTTCGAGAGGTCTCCCGATCCTCCAGGACGATCGCCCCGAGACGAGCTGACGAAGGAAAGGTGGCTGATCCGACGAAGGTCCCGTGTCAGATGTCGCGCTCTCTCCGACCCTCTTGTCCCTTGACTTCCGGTCTCTCTCCATCCCACCTACGTCGCTTATCAACCCCCGCGAGTTCTTTTGCCTCTGACGTGTTTTCCCTCACGAACCGACGAGTAGACCTCTACTCGTGTACGCGGCCAGTGCTCGTTCCTCGAAATATCGAAAGAAGCGTCCACCTTTTATCCGCGAACGAGGAGCCATTTAAAAATCTTATTAATGGAATTCCCCGAGAAGAACGACTATCGGAGTATACCAATTTGAAAATACTCCGCTCGGGAAGAAATACCGCAAACAGAGACCATCTTCTCGAAAGCTTTCTCCTGCACCATTCCGATATGGCCTGAGGTAATTTAAGATAAATTATGTGGATATCGGCAACGCGAGGGAGAACCGACCCACGATATTCCTCGTTAATAACGCTACACGCTGAATTTATTTGACAGGATTAGTAATTTACTTCTAGGGAACCTCGTCGCGCTTTCACCCCTCTTTTTCTATACTCTACGTAAAATGTTTAATATTCGCAATAAGTTACGCCGATCTCTGAAACGGTCCGGAGCACGGGGGCAAATTTGTACCTAATTGCAATTCCTTAAGTATTTATTATATGAATCGTGGATATCACTTTTTTCTTGCGTTTCAAACAACGCGTTCCTGGACTTACCTACGACGTGGAGAAAGCCGTACTGCGTTTTGGCGATGATCGTATTAATCTGGCACATGTACTTTCCCTTGTCTTCCTCGTGCACGTTGCTGATATGTAGGTACCAGGTCCTCTGCTTATCGTGGGACACCGATATCCGCGGGTTCCTCGTGATGACGTGATTGTGCACCGTCAGTATCGCGCTCTTGTCGAAGAGCATCCAGGCTACCTGAAACAGGGACACCGATGTTTCTGCATTACCGTACACCCATTATTTCCCTATCTCTCGTTAAAGTGTCGTATCGCTCGTGTTTATCGGGCATTATCGCGGGCGTTATGTACAGGTTCGTTCGACCGATTTTTAATTACGAACATATGTACCTATACCTATATTGTAGTATTAATTGTTTCGTAATTTGTAGGGAGCAGGTTGGATCCGAATGAGAGAACACCAATTCGCTGGCCGTGATATCAATTTCGTTTACTTCGGGAGTGGTTATTCCAGTGTTCTGAACGACTACGATAAGACAAAATATAGAAGACAAAATTCGCTGGCCGTGATATCAATTTTGTTTACTTCGGTCGATGATCGACTGCCTCGAAACGACGATTCGACTTCGATCCAACGATATGCCTAACCAGAACCCGTGTTTAAAAGTCCTTCCGATGTAGGGAAAACTTGTGCCTAAGTTAGTCCGCTTCCTAAACTGGACAACTACGATAAAACAAAATATAGAAGACAAAATTCGCTGGCCATGATATCAATTTTGTTTACTTCGGCAGTGGTTATTCCAGTGATCGATGATCGACTGCCTCGAAACGACGATTCAACTTCGATCCAACGATATGCCTAACCAGAACCCGTGTTTAAATGTCCTTTCGATGTAGGGAAAACTTATGCCTAAGTTAGTCCGCTTCCTAAACTGAACTACGATAAAACAAAATATAGAAGATATAGAATCTAACCAAGTATAAAAGTATTGGTACGTATGTTCTTTTGTCTCACTAACGCGCATGGGGGGGATACCTTTTCCAATCATTGGTCGTTGTCAATTATACCTGAAGTCGTAAAATTCGGGCTCATAGTCCTTCCTATTTGACCACATATAGATTGGAAAAGGGATCCGGAATTCCGGAACATATCGTCTTGTGGATGCTAATTAATTCAACTCGCCCTTTTATGCGCACAGTTTGTAATGGACTTTTGAGTCAGAAACAGATGAATGGAACAGAATATCCACATTTCAGTGTTTCCTGCCAACCACCTGTTAAAATATCTCAGGAGAAGCAGGTAACTTGACGTGTGTGTTGCTCTACAGTGTGGTAACACAGTGTGCCACGCATTTTGTTCAAAAATATTGCCTAAACAACGAACTTCTACAAACTAATTCACGAATTGCCAATCACGGCTCAATAAATTCAATATTCATAATAATAGAGCAACAACTTTTTATATTTTCTTCACCGTATAATCCCGATCAAGAATTATTCTCACATTCGTATAGTCCCGGTATAACGACCTAATATGGTCATAATTTGATCCGTCGACAGTTGATTTGTTTTGCGAAGTTGATTTTACTCGGTGTATTTTTTTTTTATAATTTTGATTACCGCGGTGTGACTACGTGGAAAATATGTTGTATCTCCGGTTGAGAACAGACGTTTCGAACGCGTGTCTTTCACCGTACCGAGAAAATCGAAGCTTCGTCGTGGTCCGATGAGAAATCGAAATTCGAGATCGGGATCTCTCGAGGGGCCGGCCCCGCGAATCCTAACTCGATCTGGAAGGATTTCAAGATGTGCAGAAAACGACGGAGAAAGCGCAAATCTTCGGGGCGTTGTGCCGATCGCCAAGTCGTTGCCTCGTTTTTTTTTTTTTTCAAGATCCCAGAGGTACGAAACGGCCATGAAAAGAGGGCGGAAAACCGCGAGATGTATGAAATAGATCTGACCGATTCGCCAGGACCATCGACATTGATCTACCAAACTGCAAGAACATTTGCAGTGCATCTTGCCCTTTTAAAATGAAGAACGCGATGTTTTGCGAAATCTGTGTATTTATATTCGTATTTATATTTGGAGGTCTACGTCGGTGTAATGAACGCGAAAAGAAAAGAAACTGTTTAAGAAAATTTGGCTAATATAAATGCTTGATTTGAATTACTTGATAATCTTATTCCACTTATTCATTGATACACTTTCGAGGATTTTTTGTTTTATTAAAATATAATTTCCGAGGGGCTATTTTACTTGGAAATCAGTGGAAATTATTTTCTTCTTTAAGAACCGATTATCTATAATTTTGTATGATAAATGGCCACGTGATTGGGTAATAACTGACGATCGGCTCTAAAATTGTGACAACGTTTCGACGATTTCCAGTGATTTCTACTTGCGATTTTCAACTGATTTCTATATGATTTTCAGCATTAAAACCCATGATTTCCTGGGTGAACAACTTCTCGATAATTTCTCAAGGATTTTTTAAACATTGTCTGACGATTACTCATCCAATCGTATCAACAATGAAAAACGGATTAAAAGAGATTCCAGAGTAAAATGAATTAAAATAAAATTGCAGCGAAGTCTGGAAGGGAAAAGGAAAGAAGGTACCCGAAGATGTCGTTTCCGGGACCATTTGCAGCATCCCCGCGAGATGCTCGGTTGACCAGTTGCACTTCGCAACTACGAGCGATCCACGATTCGAGTTGAAGATAAATCCGGCCGTATTTTCGCGTTACACGTGTAATTCGGGGTGCAAGCGCGACGCGTTTACTGCGAAAGTTTCGGCAAGGACGAGCCAGGACGGGACAGAGACAGGATTCGGAGGGATGCAAGAAGAGAAAGAAAAACCTCGCCCCGGAGAGGAAGAGAGAGGATCGCCGGAGCAAGGGAGGACCCGAGAAGAGGGCGAATGAGCGCCTCCACGTCCATCGATCGGCGAAAAGTATTTTCGCCAACTTTCAAAAATTCACCGCTGGATCCCGTACGCCCGGGCTATGAAATATTTATGTTTTCCTGTTTCAGAAGAGAGTTCCCCCGATCCTGTCCGACCCGCTTTTCCTTCGGGAAAGTCCCCGGAGAAATAAGAAAGGCAGAGAACGCATACCCATTCCCAATGGCGGCCCCAGTCGATGCACCGGACCACCCCCGGGACGCGGAGTTGGAAGTCGCGATTCCACGGCTGCGGGGTGCTCACAATGGTCACCGATGTCGGAAGGCGAATTATTAGGATGAGCCCCGCGATAAGGAGGCAACCCCTCACCTCGGGGATCATCCCCCGGTCGCCATTTACATACCGGCGCTAAACCGCCCGGACGGGATGAGACGACCACCGTCCCCCGGAATCCGCTTAAGAGAAGCCGTCTTTGCGACTACCCATTCGGGGATATAAACGAATATTCAAGGGGGACTATCGCATGTATAAATGATCGAAGAACGGGTCCGCCTACGTGCGCGGAATCGGTGCCCCGTTTAGCCAAACGACGATTCGTCCGAATTACGCGACATCCTCCCCTACATGACGGCTGTCCATTTATCAGGCCTTGGGGTCTGGGACGTTCTCGAAGAGCTTCCTCTCCGCTTCGGTTATGAAAATAACGTTTTCCGTTCAACTGAACGTGCCTACTCAGGCACCGCGGAACGTGGAATATCCGTAAATTAATCGTATATAAATTTTTTGTATAAATAAAGTCTATTGATAGATGAGTAGATGTCCGGACATGGTATGTAATATATATATACTGTAGATATCTACAATGGATAGTCTATAGATATTCATATGTATTTGTAAACAAAATTAAATTCATAACACTTTTTGAGCAGAGTCTGCTTGAGAACTTGTTCAGTACAGCTATACAGACAAATCCTGCTGTTTTTGACACAGAAAAATTGTTGTGCAATTGTCGGGATTTGAAACCCGGGATTCAAGGGTAGGAAGCAGGAACGATAACCATGATGCTACCAAAGCCTATGAAGGAGTAAATAAATATTTTTTGGACTTATGAAGAGCACTTCGGTACTTCTCGATCGGTGCTAAAGATACCTTATCAAGTTGGACTTTAGATATAAACATTATGTATGAAAAATATTAGGTTACATGAGGTGTCTTTTTATTTTTCTGAACGTATTTTTAACGATGTTGATTAACCTTTGGTAGATGTCTACGAAAGCTATTATATATTTTGAATGCGTCAAGAAATAAATAGATATTTGTAGATCAATAGTGAATTTATAATTTTCGTATACAATAGACATAGATATTTATATATATCCTTTAGATATTTTTTTAGGTGGATGATAGACGATATACATTTGTTATACCTATAGACCTAATTTAGACGATTAATTTACGTATATTCCACTTCATGGGTTGCCTGGGTACTGGCGATCAGGATAGGACAGGACATCAACCAGATTGGAAAAATACGTCATTATCGATACATGCAGAGAAATGATTCACATGTATAGTGAAAGAAATTAACTTGCTTCGGTAAACACTTTAAAATGGATCGGAACAATCTTTTTGCAGAAACGATTCGCTGTACGAACGATGAAGAGGCTGTTATTTGACCGGGGCAACACAAATATTATTCCTTGTTGCAATATTATTTACCAACGACAGCAAGCTGGATATCGCTTATTCGATCGTGGAGGAAGGATAACATTTTTCTGACCGTTGACACAATTCTATTTGCTAATCTGGCAAGCTTTTTTTCTAAAGGAAGCCCTCCTATCGTTACACCGACGTTTGATGCCGTTGCAAACATTTTTGCTCTGATGCAGTTGTAGCTGCGATAAGAGCAAAACCATATTATCAATCTTGTCCTTTGGTAAGAGCGTAAATATCTTTTTTTCCCGTAATATATTCCCCCTAGGTACATTTCGGATAACGTTGATTCCGAAAGGCGTCCCGACTTCAAATGATGCCTGAATGTCAACTCCATATTTTGTGAATTGAGTTTATAGTCCATTGTACTCGCAGAAGCGACTGACATACGCACTCTGTATGTATTTTGTAATTATTTCGTCACGAGGCGTCCTCGAAAATTGCACGGCCGTATCTATCGCCATTATATCCCCCACCCGTAGGAATAATTTAAGCGGATTACGGACGATTTTGCGAACGTGAGAATGAATTTTGATGCCATCTATTTCGCACTCGTCGTCATTGCCGCGCCGATATCGCTTATACGTGTCATACATAATAACGCTCGCTCGTGTTAACAGCGATTTCTCGATATAATCCCCAGGTGAGCATTGGCACAATTGTCGCGCCCCCATATACCGCGTCAAGTACTACGTAAAGCAAAAAACAACTACTCCCAAAAGGGCAAAAATACCGAGCAACAATTTTGCCAATATTTCCCGAGGAAATATCTCGATCGCTCGCGGTGTTCCTCCCCGATGACCATTTTCCGCGGAATAAAAGCGAGGGCAGATACGCGGGAGAAATCCGCTCTTTATGGCCGAATATAACATGTAAAAATGTTACGTTCCACGCCCACGGAAGGCAAAACTTTTTGACGTATGACACGCGCTTTAAAGCGATGCCGCGCAATTCGGTGACGCGCGCGGACGCGATATATTAAACGCAATCGCGAAAGCGAGACCACCCGGGAACGCTCGCTCGACGGGCGTCATATTTTCGGGATTAATTCCCAGGGGCCGGTTTTAATTACGATCATTAAGACCGCGCCGTGTTTACCGAACGGCCGACAATGCTTTCGCCTTCGCCTTTCCATAATCGGAGCAATCCCAGCGTTCCAGGGGAGGCGAAGTTTCGAGCGGGTCTGATGGATCAGACGGGATGTCCCCGAGGTTCTCGGAGTTCCCGTAAGTCCCGGCGCGGGACTCTCGTTACGCCGGCCCTAGAAGCGACTGTTTTCGGACGGTTACGTAGCCGGGGTATCGACATGCACGCCACCAGAAAGTAAGATGGATGCCGTGCCGGAGTTTGTTTCCAGGCAGGACCGGCGAGCATTGATTCTTTGGTGCGAGGAGAGTTACAGCTTTGTTTACCACGAGAACGCGACGAGCTCAGCGCCGTCCAGTCTAGCTCGGCTTGTCTGCGCTCCCACCCTCCACCGGCTACCACCCTCCCACCACCCACCGCCCACCGTGTTTCCGCTTTGGACCGGAGCGCGTAGTTCGGCCCCAAGATCTGGGCCCTACCCCAAGAGATCCTCTCGACCCTCTTCGTAGAACGCATTGCCCCATCCGGATCCTTTTTTCCCAGACGGATCATCTGCCTTAGGTAGTTCCCGAAGAAAGCCCACTTTCCGTGAAACGGAGCAGACCTCGGCAAGCTGGAACGACAGAAGCTGCACCTTCCCCGGTTCCATCCTAAGTCCCACGGTCCGTGTTTCACCCTTTGACGTCCGGTTCCCCTTTTCCATCCAGATCTTCTTCGCTCGGATGTCGGAGAAAACCGAGAAACGGAGCGGCAGACCCAGGCGGGATCCCGTAGTGGCAACAGCTCCGCCATCGTCGCCACAATACCATTCCCTCCGACCCCTCCTCGCATATGGGAAGTTGGAGCGCATTCCGGCTAAACGTATTACCACCACTTAGCCCGCAAGCTGTCGAGTTCCCCTAACCCAGACGTCCTCCTAATTGGCACACGACGCTTTAGTCTCCTAAGCGTTTCCATTGGTAGGACACCGCGGCGGGGCTCGACGCGTTGAAAGCTCTCCCCTGCCTCTTGGATCATCTACGTCGGCGGCTACGTCGATACAACGTCGAGTCGCGGGCCAAATTCACCGGAACCCGGAGACCGCAGTTCCACCTAGAGGTCGGTCCACGGATGGGGATGCCGCTGACGTAAGGCCCCGCACTTGGGGGAACGGCTTAAGATCGAGCCTGGTTAACTTGGTAATCTGACACTTGCAATTGGACGGCCCGAATGAAATTAACTGTCCCGGCATGAACTGCCGAGCGCGACCAGTTCGGAATACCGTCTGGGATAAATGAGGCGAACTTCCCAAAATGCACCCCAATTCGCATCCCCTGCACGCCTTTAAACGAGGGTAAATAACTCGATAAATACTTTTCCAAGCGAAACTTTTTATGCCACGACAATGTACCTAAATTCCCACGTTAAGAAAGGAAAGTGTATGGAAAAGTGAAATACTCGTTTTCTTTTTTTACAGTTAATTCCCGATAACGTTCATTGTTACGTATAAGTGTAGTCTCAGTGCCCTGTGCGGTCCAATAAAGTTAATAGAATAAAAAAAAGATGAAAGCGTTTAGCTATAGGAATAGTTGTGTCGCCAATAAGGCAATAAAGATTAAGAATAAGACTAAATAGAAGGTAGAGTGAAATGTAATGGTTGAATGATTGTGGGGTGAAATGAGAAGTATTTAGATTAAATGACAGCTCGATAGGTGATACTGTTTATGCGTGATTGAGAGTTCGTGAAGTGCGAGCGACCGTATGACTCAGTGAGTGAGAATTTTGGCGCACAAAGAAATGTATTTATGAGTGTGGGAATGAGAGAGGGAGGAATATGAATTGAGTGAGAGAGAAATTAGAGTGAGGCTGGATGAGAACGATCGAATGAGAGTTAATTCTGATGAGGAGAGCTCGAGCGAAGTGGGAGGGAAAATCAAGTCCCTTTTTCTGAGATCTTTAAGACGTACTCTTCAATGTATTCAATTTCTTTATATTAATTTTTTTATTAATAAATCAACCGTTCATGTTAATCCTGACACTTGAAATNAATACATTCTCACGAGCAGGGATTCGAATCTATCGGCGCCATTTATCTTCGCGTCGTAGTGTTCGCATTGCTCCCTATTAATCTCATATTTCATAGTTTCCTTTCGAGCGAAAAACTCTGAGGGACGATATCGAAAGTACGGAGGTTAAAGAAAAAGAAATCAATGAAGAATAATAAGAATAATTGGCAGAACAATTAAACGCTGAACGTTCGTCGAAAAATGATGCACGAGTCGTGCTATAGACAAATATTATTAAAAATAAATGAATTCAACTCTTAGGAGGGAACGTGACGTGAGCGAAATAAATGATGAATATTCTTCGTGGCAAGTTTGCAATATTCTTTATATTTGTACCGTACACGATACCGTACAAGGTGCAGTGCCTCTTGCAGGGTTGTACTACTTATACTATGTATGTACTACTATGTACTACTAATATTTCATAGTTTCCTTTCGAGCGAAAAACTCTGAGGGACGACATCGAAAGTACGGAGGTTAAAGAAAAAGAAATCAATGAAGAATAATAAGAATAATTGGCTGAACGATTAAACGCTGAACGTTCGTCGAAAAATGATGCACGATTCGTGCTATAGGCGAGTATTATTAAAAATAAATGAATTCAACCCTTAGAAGGGAACGTGACGTGAGCGAAATAAATGAGGAATATTCTTCGTGGCAAGTTTGCAATATTCTTTATATTTGTACCGTACACGATACCGTACAAGGTGCAGTGCCCCTTGCAGGGTTGTACTACTTCCTTTTTGGTGTAAGAGAAAAGTCTTCCCTTTGTACTTTGCCGTGGATATATACTGGCTTCCACGAGGGCCAAGGATCTTCCGGATTACGTTCCCCTTAATCTTTGCTCTTTCGGTGACCGGAACAAAGTAAATTCGACCTGTAACGTTTAATTGCGTCCTCCTGACTTCTCATTGTCCTCGCGGGGGTGAGAGCGGGAGAAAGGAGCATTGACATCGAGGAGGGCGCGCGAAGACGGCGAGAAAGAGCTTACCGTTTTGTCTCCTCCAGTTTGTCGTTTTTCTGTGTATGTACCTCCCTTCTCGAGCTTGAAATTTCTTCGGGTGATATAAAATTTGGAAAGGAGAGTCCTCGATACGAGTCGTGATTTCCCATGTGATAAATTACATATATAATATTCTGTCAAGGGCGCGTTGTCATTAAAGTTCATAAATACGTGTCAAAATTTAGACTCATTCAACGGTACGGTCTAATTATCGAAGTTCATAAAAACGGGTCAAACTTAAAACTCATTCGCCGAACCGCGAAGTGAAAATTGTAATTAACATTCACTGACCACCGCTGTCCCAAAATAATTCCCCATTTTACCCCATATTTTTTTAACCAAACGTCGTCCAAAAAATACATAAAATTGGAAAAAATTGCGCTTGAGCAAACAAATCCAGGATGTTTTCGACAGAGAGCACCGGCTGTTAAATTTGTTCAGTCGAATTTTTATTTTTGAAACTAAACCCCTCGAGGGTGTAACCTTCCATGGAATAGCCCCGAGGATTGCGTAATGTTTAAAAAATACCCGAGTTAAAATTTTAATCCTACTTAGAGCCTACAATGGTAGGTTTCAAATAGGTTTTGACACGATGTACTTTCACTTGTTGAAGATCCTACTTTAAACCTTAAAACTGGGAGATATTTCCATTTCATCTACTCATAGACCTAAAGTACTATAGGACTTAATTCAAATAAAGCAGGACGTAAAAGATCAAAAGGAGGACTTAAAAGAGTGAAACGGGACAAAAAGAGATCTTATATGGGTTACGCGGGCTTAAAGAAGACATAAATTTTCGACTCGGGCGAGTACTTTCTCAATCCGTAATGAAAAAATGCCCTCCCCTCGGTACTTGTTGGAACATCCCGGAGTAACCCGCTCCCCTCAAGGTGGAACTTGGTCGCGACTTCATCGGCGAGCGTGATTTCCCGAATTTACAAGAAACAAACAGGGTCTTCCCTAGCCCGTTTCGCCGCCATACCGACGCCGGAAGAGGGATTTTTCGGGTCTTTATCGGGGACACAATCCACGAGGTGTCGGGGCCGGAAGTAGCGCCTCGCGACGCCGCGAGTAACTCCGTTAGGAGTTGCAGTTTCTTTCGGCTTCGTCGGCTCCTCGTCTCACGGCGTCTTGCGTCCCGGTAGGTCGGTTCTTTCCGTTGTCTTTCGTCGTCTTTCGTCGTCTTCCGCCGTCTTCCCGTGGCTCCGGTCGCCTCGAGTCGCCCCGGCG